GTGAGATACGGTTAGGACAAGGCCTGATGTCCAAACAAATACAGTGAGATACGGCTACGACATGGTCTGATGTCCAATGTAATACAGCAAGATACGTTTACGACAAGGCCTGATGTGCAACTACACACAGTGAGATACGGTAACGACATGGCCTGATGTCCAACTAAATACAGCGAGATACGTTTACGACATGGTGTGATGTCCTATTTTATACAGTGAGATACGGTTACGACATGGCCTGATGTCCAACTAAATACGGGGAGATACGGTAACGATGTGGCCTGATGTCCAACTAAATACAGCGAGATACGTTTACAACATGGCCTGATGTCTAAATAGTTACAGTGAGATTTGTTAACGACATGGCCTGATGTCCAACTACATACAGCGAGATACGCTTACGACAAGGTCTGATGTCCAATTTAAAACAGCGAGATACGTTTACGACAAGGCCTGATGTCCAACTACATACAGCGAGGTACGGTTACGACATGGCCTGATGTCCAACTAAATACAGCGAGATACTGTTACGACATTGTCTGATGTCCAATTTATTACAGTGAAATACGTTTACGACATGGCCTGATGTCCAACTAAATATGGCGAGATATAGTAACGACGTGGCCTGATGTCCAACTAAATACAGCGAGATACGTTTACGACATGGCCTGATGTCCAAATACTTACAGCGAGATACGTTAACGACATGGCCTGATGTCCAACTACATGGAGCGAGATACGTTTACGACAAGGTCTGATGTCCACTTTAATGGAGCGAGATACAGTTATGACAAGGCCTGATGTCCAATTTAATACAGCAAGATACGGTTATGACATGGTCTGATGTCCAATTTAATACAGCGAGATACGGTTACGACATGGTCTGATGTCCAATTTAATACAGCGAGATACGTTTACGACATGGCCTGATGTCCAACTACATACAGCGAGATACGGTTACGACATGGCCTGATGTCCAACTAAATACAGCGAGATATGGTTACGACATGGCCTGATGTCCGACTTAATACAGCGAGATGCGGTTATGACATGGCCTGATGTCCAACTTAATACAGCGAGATAGGTTACGACATGGTCTGATGTCCAACTAAATACAGCGAGATACGTTTACGACATGGTGTGATGTCCTATTTTATACAGTGAGATACGGTTACGACATGGCCTGATGTCCAACTAAATACGGGGAGATACGGTAACGATGTGGCCTGATGTCCAACTAAATACAGCGAGATACGTTTACGACATGGCCTGATGTCTAAATAGTTACAGTGAGATTTGTTAACGACATGGCCTGATGTCCAACTACATACAGCGAGATACGTTTACGACAAGGTCTGATGTCCAACTACATATAGCGAGGTACGGTTACGACATGGCCTGATGTCCAACTAAATACAGCGAGATACTGTTATGACATTGTCTGATGTCCAATTTATTACAGTGAAATACGTTTACGACATGGCCTGATGTCCAACTAAATATGGCGAGATATAGTAACGACGTGGCCTGATGTCCAACTAAATACAGCGAGATACGTTTACGACATGGCCTGATGTCCAAATACTTACAGCGAGATACGTTAACGACATGGCCTGATGTCCAACTACATGGAGCGAGATACGTTTACGACAAGGTCTGATGTCCACTTTAATGGAGCGAGATACAGTTACGACAAGGCCTGATGTCCAACTAAATACAGCGAGATACTGTTATGACATTGTCTGATGTCCAATTTATTACAGTGAAATACGTTTACGACATGGCCTGATGTCCAACTAAATATGGCGAGATATAGTAACGACGTGGCCTGATGTCCAACTAAATACAGCGAGATACGTTTACGACATGGCCTGATGTCCAAATACTTACAGCGAGATACGTTAACGACATGGCCTGATGTCCAACTACATGGAGCGAGATACGTTTACGACAAGGTCTGATGTCCACTTTAATGGAGCGAGATACAGTTACGACAAGGCCTGATGTCCAATTTAATACAGCAAGATACGGTTATGACATGGTCTGATGTCCAATTTAATACAGCGAAATACGTTTACGATATGGCCTGATGTGCGACTTAATACAGAGAGATACGTGTTACGACATGGCCTGATGTCTAACTAAATACAGCGAGATACGGTTATGACATGGCCTGATGTCCAACTACATACAGCAAAAGATATGGTTACGACATGGCCTGATGTCCAATTTAATACAGCGAGATACGGTTGTGACATGGCCTGATGTCCAACTACATACAGCGAGATACGGTTTACGACAAGGTCTGATGTCCGACTTAATACAGAGAGATACGTTTACGACATGGCCTGATGTCTAACTACATACAGCGAGATATGGTTATGACATGGCCTCATGTACAACTTCATACAGTGAGATACGGTTACGACATGGTCTGATGTCCAACTAAATACAGCGAGATACGGTTACGACATGGTCTGATGTCCTATTTAATACAGCGAGATACGTTTACGACATGGCCTGATGTCCAACTACATACAGCAAGATACGGTTATGACATGGCCTGATGTCCAATATACAGCGAGATATGTTTACGACATCTCCTGATGTCCAACTACATACAGCGAGATACGGTTACGACATGGCCTGATGTTCAACTAAATACATCGAGATACGGTTACGACAAGGTCTGATGTCCAATTTAATACAACGAGATATGGTTACGACATGGTCTGATGTCCAATTTAATACAGCGAGATACGTTTACGACTTGGCCTGATGTACAACTACATACAGTGAGATACGGTTAGGACAAGGCCTGATGTCCAAACAAATACAGTGAGATACGGCTACGACATGGTCTGATGTCCAATGTAATACAGCAAGATACGTTTACGACAAGGCCTGATGTGCAACTACACACAGTGAGATACGGTAACGACATGGCCTGATGTCCAACTAAATACAGCGAGATACGTTTACGACATGGTGTGATGTCCTATTTTATACAGTGAGATACGGTTACGACATGGCCTGATGTCCAACTAAATACGGGGAGATACGGTAACGATGTGGCCTGATGTCCAACTAAATACAGCGAGATACGTTTACGACATGGCCTGATGTCTAAATAGTTACAGTGAGATTTGTTAACGACATGGCCTGATGTCCAACTACATACAGCGAGATACGTTTACGACAAGGTCTGATGTCCAATTTAAAACAGCGAGATACGTTTACGAGAAGGCCTGATGTCCAACTACATACAGCGAGGTACGGTTACGACATGGCCTGATGTCCAACTAAATACAGCGAGATACTGTTATGACATTGTCTGATGTCCAATTTATTACAGTGAAATACGTTTACGACATGGCCTGATGTCCAACTAAATATGGCGAGATATAGTAACGACGTGGCCTGATGTCCAACTAAATACAGCGAGATACGTTTACGACATGGCCTGATGTCCAAATACTTACAGCGAGATACGTTAACGACATGGCCTGATGTCCAACTACATGGAGCGAGATACGTTTACGACAAGGTCTGATGTCCACTTTAATGGAGCGAGATACAGTTACGACAAGGCCTGATGTCCAATTTAATACAGCAAGATACGGTTATGACATGGTCTGATGTCCAATTTAATACAGCGAGATACGGTTACGACATGGTCTGATGTCCAATTTAATACAGCGAGATACGTTTACGACATGGCCTGATGTCCAACTACATACAGCGAGATACGGTTACGACATGGCCTGATGTCCAACTAAATACAGCGAGATATGGTTACGACATGGCCTGATGTCCGACTTAATACAGCGAGATGCGGTTATGACATGGCCTGATGTCCAACTTAATACAGCGAGATAGGTTACGACATGGTCTGATGTCCAATTTAATACAACGAGTTACGGTTACGACAAGGTCTGATGTCCAATTTACAGCGAGATACGTTTACGACATGGCCTGATGTCCCACTACACACAGTGAGATACGGTTACGACAAGGCCTGATGTCGAACCAAATACAGCGAGATACGGCTACGACATGGTCTGATGTCCAATTTAATACAGCGAGATACGTTTACGACAAGGCCTGATGTCCAACTACATACAGTGAGATACGGTTACGACATGGCCTGATGTCCAACTAAATACAGCGAGATACGGTTACGACATGGCCTGATGTCCAAGTAAATACAGCGAGATACGGTTACGACATGGCCTGATGTCCAAATAGTTACAGTGAGATATGTAAACTACATGGCCTGATGTCCAACTACATACAGCGAGATACGTTTACGACAAGGTCTGATGTCCAATTTAAAACAGCCAGATACGTTTACGACAAGGCCTGATGTCCAAGTACATACAGAGAGATACGGTTACGACATGGCCTGATGTCCAACTAAATACAGCGAGAAACGGTTACGACATGGTCTGATGTCCAATTTAATACAGCGAGATACGTTTACGACATGGCCTGATGTCCAACTAAATACGGCGAGATATAGTAACGACGTGGCCTGATGTCGAACTAAATACAACGAGATACGTTTACGACATGGCCTGATGTCCAAATACTTACAGCGAGATACGTTAACGACAAGGCCTGATGTCCAACTACATACAGCGAGATACGTTTACGACAAGGTCCGATGTCCAATTTAATGCAGCGAGATACGGTTACGACATGGTCTGATGTCCAATTTAATACAGCGAGATACGGTTACGACATGGTCTGATGTCTAATTTAATACAGCGAGATACGGTTACGACATGGCCTGATGTCCAACTAAATACAGCGAGATACGGTTACGACATGGCCTGATGTCCAACTACATACAGCGAGATACGGTTATGACATGGCCTGATGTCAAATTTAATACAGGGAGATACGGTTATGACATGGTCTGATGTCCAACTAAATACAGCGAGATACGGTTAAGACTCGATTCATGGGTTATGTCGACGTTCCAAAAAGTGACGAGATCAGGTGACGAGATCTCGGGCAAACAGTGTTCGGACTAAGGAGGTTTCACTGTTGATCAATCCCTCTTCTGCGGACACACAATTTTCGCCTCTGGTTTTATAAGAGCTTAAAGAGGAGCTTCCATGAGAAATGTTTTGAGCGAAACGAATAATGTTATAATTATTGTTTCCCGCCGGTTTCGAACCGGATTTCAGTTATATTTTGAGAGGGAAGCCTAATGTGATGCAGGTCTTAGACAGGTCTTTACCCCTTTGGTGAAACCCATGAACACTAATGTGGTGCTGACAAACCTAGAAACATAATCAGGCCGGATATGGGATGCGAACCAACCAATATGTCCACAGATGGACACATTGTTGCGTGTCTCAATGATTGACATATTGTTGTGTGGTTCACTGATGGACATATTGTTGCGGGCTTCACTGATGGACATATTGTTGCAGGCTTCACTGATGGACATATTGTTGCGGGGTTCACTGATGGACATATTGCTGTGGGGTTCACTGATGGACATATTGCTGTGGGGTTCACTGATGGACATATTGTTGCGGGGTTCACTGATGGACATATTGTTGCGGGGTTCACTGATGGACATATTTTTGTGGGGTTCACTGATGGTCATATTGTTGCGGGCTTCACTGATGGTCATATTGTTGCGGGCTTCACTGATGGACATATTGTTGCGGGCTTCACTGATGGACATATTGTTCCGGGCTTTACTGATGGACATATTATTACGGGGTTCACTGGTGGTAATATTGTAGCGCGCTTCACAGATGGACATATTGTTTCGGGCTACACTGATGGACATATTGTTTCGAGCTTCACTGATGGACATATTGTTGTGGGGTTCACTGATGGACATATTGTTGCGGGGTTCACTGATTGACATATTGCTGTGGGGTTCACTGATGGACTGGTTGTTGCGTGGTTCACTGATGGACATATTGTTGTGGGGTTCACTTATGGACATATTGTTGCGGGCTTCACCGATAGTCATATTTTTGTTGGGTTCACTTATGGACATATTGTTGTGGGGTTCACTGATGGACATATTGTTGCGGGGTTCACTGATGGACATATTGCTGTGGGGTTCACTGATGGACTGGTTGTTGCGTGGTTCACTGATGAACATTTTGAAGTGGGGTTCACTGATGGACATATTGTTGCGGGCTTCACCGATGGTCATATTGTTGTTGGGTTCACTGATGGACATATTGTTGTGGGGTTCACTGTTGGACATATTGTTGTTGGGTTCACTGATGGACATATTGCTGTGGGGTTCACTGATGGACATACTGTTGCGGGGTTCACTGATGGACAAATTGTTGTGGGGTTTACTGATGGACATTTTGTTGTGGGGTTCACTGATGGACATATTGTTGCGGGGTTCACTGATGGACTGGTTGTTGTGTGGTTCACTGATGGACATATTGTTGTGGGGTTCACTGATGGACATATTGTTGTGGGGTTCACTGATGGAGATATTGTTTCGGGCTTCACTGATGGACATGTTGTTGCGGGCTTCACCGATGGTCATATTGTTGTTGGGTTCACTGATGGACATATTGTTGTTGGGTTCACTTATGGACATATTGTTGCGGGCTTCAGCGATAGTCATATTGTTGTTGGGTTCGCTGATGGATAATATTGTTGTGGGGTTCACTGATGGACATATTGTTGCAGGCTTCACCGATAGTGATATTGTTGTTGGGTTCACTGATGGACACATTGTTGTGGGGTTCACTTATGGACATATTGTTGCGGGCTTCGCCGATGGTCATATTGTTGTTGGGTTCACTGATGATATATTGTTGTGGGGTTCACTTATGGACATATTGTTGCGGGCTTCACTGATACACATATTGTTGCGGGCTTCACCGATGGACATATTGTTGCGGGCTTCACTGATGGTCATATTGTTGTTGGGTTCACTGATGATATATTGTTGTGGGGTTCACTTATGAACATATTGTTGCGGGCTTCACTGATACACATATTGTTGTGGGGTTCACTGATGGACATATTGTTTCGGGCTTCACTGATGGTCATATTGTTGTGGGGTTCTCTGATGATATATTGTTGTGGGGTTCACTTATGGACATATTGTTGCGCACTTCAGTGATACACATATTGTTGCGGGCTTTACTGATACACATATTGTTGCGGGTTTCAGTGATACACATATTGTTGCGGGCTTCACTGATAGACATATTGTTGCGGGCTTCACTGATACACATATTGTTGCGGCCTTCACTGATACACATATTGTTGCGGGCTTCTTCTTCACTTCATTCAGTACTTGTAGGCGACGGGCCTTTTTGTACAGACGAAATACAATTGAGGTGCAAACAGTATACGATATTACATATTTTCCATGTTGGATTATTTGTGTTCTTACAGCATTGGCATGAAACAAGTACCTTGCCGTATTCATACTGATAATAGGGTATTGCGATGACAGTGGTATATTAAACTTCAGAACATTTGGAAAGATGTACGATTTAGATTCTATGTAATTTTGCCTAAGATGGCTATAAGCTGGACAAATTAAGTGATATTCATTTACGATATGGTTTAAGTTACAAACTTTACATTTTCTAAATTCACGAGGAATATAATAATGTCGTCCATGTTCAATTTCTAAATTGTGAGAATTGAGCCGAAAACGAGTCAGTTTGGTACTGAATTTAGACCCATAATTATCAGGAACAGAGGCGTTCCCTTTCTTATGTAATGGGATAATTATCCCAATAGCCCAACGTTCAGGAAAGACACCGTTTTGATAAATGCTGTTAAATATGATTTCTAAATAAGGTATTATAACAGCGGACGAATATTTTAGATAGTCACTCAGAATGTCGTAAAGACCAGCTGTTTTGTTATTTTTCAGGGCACTGATGCTTTCAAAAAGTTCAGATCTGGTGATTGGAGAATCTAATATGTCAATTGCCAGTTCTTGCACATAACCTGGACATGTTGCGGGCTTCAACGATGATCATATTGTTGCGGGGTTCACTGATGGTCATATTGTTGCGGGCTTCAGTGATGGTCATATTGTTGTGTGGTTCACTGATGAACATATTGTTGTGTGGTTCACTGGTGGACATATTGTTGTGTGGTTCACTGGTGGACATATTGTTGTGTGGTTCACTGATGGACAGATTGTTGTGTGGTTCACTGATGAACATATTGTTGTGTGGTTCCTTGGTTCACATATTGTTTTGTGGCTCACTGATTCACATATTGTTGTGTGGTTCACTGCTGAACATATTGTTGTGTGATTCACTGATGAACATATTGTTGTGTGGTTCACTTATGGACATATTGTTGTGTGGTTCACTTATGAACATTTTGTTGTGTGGTTCACTGTTGGACATATTGTAGCGGGGTTCAGAGTTGGTCATATTGTTGGATAAGAATGTTGTGTTGTACAGGAATGAACAGCGCCAATATAATTAATCATACGCTAATCATTTATTTTGATGATATGGCTCCATATTGATCAAACGGCCAATCTCCTGATTTACTGAACACAAAGATCAAATGTGTGGTTCTCTAATGGATATATTGTTGTGTGGTTCCTTGGTTCACATATTGTTTTGTGGCTCACTGATTCACATATTGTTGTGTGGTTCACTGCTGAACATATTGTTGTGTGATTCACTGATGAACATATTGTTGTGTGGTTCACTTATGGACATATTGTTGTGTGGTTTACTGATTCACATGTTGTAAGGTCCCTGGTTCACATGTTGTTTTGTGGCTCACTGATTCACCTATTGTTTTGTGGCTCACTGATTCACATATTGTTCTGTGGGTTACTGATTCACATAATGTTGTGTGGTTCCCTGGTTCACATATTGTTTTGTTGCTCACATATTCACATAGTGTTGTGTGGTTTACTTATGGCTATTGGTGTGTGGTTCACTGATGGACATATTGTTGTGTGGTTCACTAATGGACATTTTGTTGTGTGGTTCACTAATGGACATTTTGTTGTGTGGTTCACTGTTGGACATATTGTAGCGGGGTTCCATCATATTGTTGGATAAGAATGTTGTGTTGTACAGGAATGAACAGCGCCAATATAATTAATCATACGCTAATCATTTATTTTGATGATATGGATCTATATTGATCAAACGGCCCATCCCCTGATCAACTGAACACAAAGATCAAATGTATAAAAAAATCCTGAAATGAGTTGAGTGAAAAGCTATAAAAAATTCCCAATATGATAATAATTTCATATGCTCTTATCCGCAAACACCATGAAACAAAGGACAGGCCGTATCACGAGAGTTATAGAAATACTTGTTTTAATTAAAATGAATATTATAAGAATATCCATGAATAAATGTCACACCGCTTACTTTTATTGAGCCAATAGTTACGGCTGAAGCACATCCACAATAAATCACGTATCGAAAATCATGTTTAATGTTTTATAGTGATAGGACCCGTGCAGGGAACACACCACCTCGCTCAAGTTTGACGGTGTCTAACCCTTGTTTTAAACGACCTTTATTATAATCCGAGTTTGATTCTGTCGCCATTACATTGCATCATATTATAAACAGCTGGCGAACTAATATGAACATCCAGCTCTGTATAAACCTGGTCATGTGAGCAGAATTAAAATAAATCATATTTAAAACACGGCATCGTATCCCCCTCTGTAATACAACCAAATAAACAATGCACATACATAATGTAATGTCATTGGTGATCTGAGCGGATCACACAACTAATTACGTTGTTCGTGGGAAAATATAGTGTTTGAACTATTGTTTGAAGTATTTGATATCCAGCAATAATTAAAAAAAGAAGCTATATCTCCAGGCACACCGCGTACCACCTGATCCCAGGCGATAAAACGTGCTGCGATATTTGAAATAAGTGCAGTGATCCGTGTCGAGTATTTTAAGACTAAATAGCTAAAAATGTTTTTATCATATATAATGGCGGAAATCAAAGGATGTTTGTTTGTTTTAACGAGCGGAGAAACAATATGTTGTCTTTCATCACGTTTCACACATGCTTATACGGTATGTGTGTGTAAAAAAATATGTAAGACACTTCATGCATTAATCCACAGTCAGATTGTAATAACAAAAAAAAACTTTTTTGGAGACAGTTTAATCCTACAACTGACATGCCCCCCTTTAATCGACATATGGACATGTTCACCTGTATATAACTGTTCAGCAGGGTGGGTCGATGTACAGTTGGGAAGGTCAGGAAGAGGAGTGTGTCGTTTTTCAAATAACATGAAACACAAAGGAACTGATACAACTGCTGGGTGCCCTCCCTACTGTTGTGGTCATTGCCTAAATCACTCGATCTTCCCAAACCGTCAGAGTCACCTTAAAACCAGTTCTGGGTTTCCAGGGGGTAACGGTCTGGAGGCGTTTGCAGTATTATATCCGGGGAAACTCCAATAATCCTTACATCCTTGATCTAGTCAACTAAATAAGCCCGAATTCTCATTTGAATTTCATTTACACATTGTATATCCATCCAAAGTCGATGTGTGCTATTAAATGTCACTGTAACAAAGGGATAAAGGTAATTGATATAAGAAAAAAGTCCCTGTTTAAAATAGATGTGCAATATGAAACAACGGGATAGTTTCTGATTTACTGCAGTCCTTCAGAATCTTCCCAGGGGTCGATTCTGTCAGTCGGGATCCCTTAAAGTAGATAATGACATCAAAGACTTGCCGCCCCACAGGTAACTTCCATAGAGGTGTTGAGGTAATTCAAAAGTCAATCGCCTGTCCCATCAATCTATGATAGGTAGGCTTTCGATACGCATGTCCGAGTTGCTTTACGACACCAACATGACGTAATGTTATGCCCCCTTCCGTTTTACGACAACCCACAAAGCGGTGATAGCCGATACCATGTTACTATTCAGTGCATCTCCATTTCTGACAATAACTACGTCTATATAAATAAATTGGGTGTTTTATGGGTGCATTTTAATACAAAAATCTTTTCTAGGCACGACAGTAAGGAATTGAGGCCTCCGCAATAACGGCATTTTAAATTGCCTTGACACCGTTGGGATAAGAAAGCACCAATAAAACGCAGATAGATTTAAATTGATGTTATCGTGAATAAACTATAAGCCTTACAAAACAGTGTATTATGTATGGTCTTGTAGGTGTTATTTCACGAAAGTAATAGACCTTATAAACATCACAATATATGGTACATTTTTTCCTCTGAACGTTTTTCCATAAAAACCTGGTTAATGAGAGTTACCGAACTCTCAAATCCGAATTATAAAAAAGGAGAAAGCATAATAATTGGAGGTTTATTACAAGTAATTCAATTTCATATCATTCAATTATACCCCTGGTATTCAATATGGGTGGCAAGAGGTCCTTTTAATCTTAGATTTATGACTTAATACCATTATATCACGATAAATCTCATATCAAATTATGACAGCCCGCCCATGTAGCATAATACACAATTTAAACGTTTATTGACGAAAGAAATGGTTGATTACCCCTAACAAATGCCGTTTGGGACAGAGTTTGAAAAATAGACAGTTTTATTAAGGCAATAATTCTACTTTAGCCATCATTCTTCAGAAACGCACATACGT